CCACATTCACTTAAACTTAACAATCTTTATAACACACGCTATAAATCACAGTGATTCGCACACTTTACTTACGGTGCCTACTGTTGCTTGACTCAATTATCTATTTCTTCAATCTATCTATCTATCGCTGGCTTTTTTGCCAGGCTTATATACTAAAAAAGAGGGCGTCTAGCAAACACTCGGACATTCGCGGGGTTTCCCGATAATTCTAGAAACTCCAGTGCGCATACTCCCAGCGTCACGCGACTTCCGCTGTCGTAACACTATATTTGGCATAAATATGTGGAAGGCGGTAGTATCTTTGACATAGTTCCCAGGGCTTTTATAGATGAATTAGGTAGAAACTTCATGATGAACAACCAAAGGTGAAGAAAGTAACACGGGTTTTGTAGATCAGTCCTCCAAGACTTTGTCCACAAGTCCATTTCGCCTTTGTTTGTTCCTGGGGGGGGGGGGGTTCAAGTGCTTTTGGATTTTATAATCACGCGCTACCAAGAAATGATAGCCTGTTTTGAAACAGAACTATGCCTATCCTAGAGGTAATCGTTTCTGGACCGAAAATCCAGCAGTTCATGGTTCGTGTCCCATTAGTGGAAAAATATTCTCAGCATTTTGGGGCAGGGGCGTCGAAAGCCAGCACGGACCCCGGGGCTAACATCTTCGCCGGCTCCCTTTTCTCTCTCTCTCTTTTAATATTTTAAAAAAAATTATTAATAGAAGATCCTAAGTTAGACAGCAACGAGCTCATAAACAAGTCAAACTCATACCAACAGCGTAAAAACGTGCTTTACGGCATAGCCAGGTTTCATTCGCCCGGACCCCTGGGCAATTGCACCTTTTACCCTACCTCTGTCGGTGGGCCTGCTTTGGGGGTATGTGTGCGGTATAAGACTGACGGTCATATCGTACTGTTCGGTCAGATAAGGGTAGCCCAAGAGTTGGCGGTGGATGCTGTTGACTAGCTGCCTTTGTTTCTAGTCAAAATTAGAGGCGATTACTTGGGATAACCCTTTGTGTAGCTTTGCGGGAAATTCTAAAACAAAACTTTCAAACCAATTTTTAGAAGGATTACAAAAATATTAAAGGGTTTATCTGTTATTTCTTTCGGTTCATTTCTTTGTGCATGACATGGTTCGGGATTACTACTTCTTATCTGGAATCCTGAGCTAAAACAGAGCCAAAAGGCGGTTATCCAGAGTTATTTGAAGTATTGATTTTTCATTAATAGTCATTTTTGAAACATTTTTTTTCGCTGTTTGATACCCTATTATTCTGTAGTGCTCGATTTTTGTTAGATGAAACTTATAACTCCCTTATCAGAAATTTGTTAAAACAACAAAAATATCAAAAAACCTACAGATAAGACAACATTACTGCTGCACGTGTCCTGCTGATAGCTGAAAGTAACAATGAAAAGTAATAATAAAAATGTTAGGCCTATAGTAACAGTGAAAAATCATAAATATGATAGGCCTATAGTTATTGTTAACTGAAAGTGCTTTCCCATTTTGTGTTTTATAACATACCAATATAATCGCAATTTACCAATTATATGCATTACCCATAAAATATTTAAACGATTTATTTCAAAATGTTAAGAGAAGAATGTAAGAAATTCAAGTAAAATAATATTTTAAATTTTGCTTCAATAAATTTTACCAAATTGTCGCTTCTGTTTTATCATGCATGTGTTTATTTATTTTACTATTGTTACGTCTCCGTTTGTTAATTGATTTTCCGTAACTTCGTACCGACGAAACTTAAGCGACACAAGCCTTTACTTAATAAAACTGGTTTATTCTTTCCGAATATAACTTAACCGATACACTCAACAATCGCGCTAAACAAACGCTATAGCAACGAACGTCAATAATACTCCGACCGCAGATCAATTACTCACTATCTATACACACATTACCTTCCCTTCTTTTATATACCAGCGTAACCTATTTCTAGTAAGAACTTGAACATTCGACAAAGTACATGATAGTTCTAGAAACGTTGCGTCACGGCGGTCATGTGACTGGTGACGCAACACTATGTATGTTACCATTAAAACAATTTTGACAACATTTTTTTCGTATTTCTCCATTATTTAGCGTATTGTTTTATCTGTTAAAATTCGTTGTTTATTGATAACCCAAGTGTCTGGAAATAAAATCTTGTTTCAGTCGAAGAACAAAGTCGTAATTCGATTTGTAAAACTTTCTCACGTGTTTGAAAGAAGCAGGCAGGAGACGATCCCGAAACATAAATTTATTTACCCAGTCATAATATTTTAATAAGCCTTAATATTGGACCATGTGTTTTAATTGTTTGTTGTTAAGCACAAAGCTAAACAATGTGCTCTCTGTGCTCTGCTTATCGCTGGTATCGAAACCCGATTTTTTAGCGTTAGAAGTTCGCATACTTACCGTTGAGCCATCGGGGGCCGCATTGCGTGAATGTGGTGAATGTAAGTTCACAATTATTTTTTTATTTATTGCTATTATTTAAAAATTAGCAAAGTAGTTTCTCTATAAAAAAAAAACCTACTCATGCTCATCGCATTAGAAGTTAGGTTAGATATATAACATTTACACTATTCAAGCTGTTCGCTCAGTTTACACTAAACTTGATCAGATCGTAGTAACAGGTAAGGAAATCTGAAATTGGTCAAGGTTTACGTCATTCCTTTGTAAATTAACATAAAATTTAATTAAGCGAACGAGAATATTTCCGAAGGCTACAGTCACAGACAATATAAAAAAAACAGTAAAAAACTGCTGTTCTGTAGGATATTATATGTTTATGTATGTGTAAACATCGGTGGTACAATAAACTGTCGAATTGCGCTCTGTAGTGAAAGATCATATCTAAGTGTTTATTTCCGTAATGAAATTAAAGTATTGGCAAAAAAATCGCAAAAGAGAAGTACTGTTATATTTTATGAAAAATACATAAAGTGACCACAATGGCCCTCAATAAGTTCAGTACAAACATTTTTATAGCTAAAACTTGAAAAAGAACAATACAATTTTACTAAAGTTGATTAAAATGTCAACATAATTTGATGCTGCCAGTGCATCATCGATATTCAAACTTAATGTTTAAACGTGAATTTCAGCCCTACACAGCAGCCATGATCAACTAATTTACATATTTATTATCCACAGGGAAAATACGATTAACAATGTACATATAACGCAACAATAAAGATAATTAAGTTGTCTCTCCTCCCAAAATACAATATGGCTAACAATATACATATCATGTGACACAACAATAAAGGTACTTTAGTAGTCTCATCTGCCTAGATACAATATGGCTAAATATGCACATACGATGCAACAATAACTTCAATAAGAATACTTAAGCACCCTTTCCTTCCTAAAGACAGTGTGATTAATAATGTACATATGCCTCAACAATGAAGGTGCTTAAGTAGCCCTTACCCTTGTAAACATTTCTAAGTTAATAGTTCAAGTTATTTGACTGGTCGGTTTTCATTTTTGCACTTCGTGGGTGTTTTTTATGTAAAAAGTATACCTTTTTAATTTAGTGTTATAAACAGAAAGGTAATATATATATATATATATATGCTTTTTTTTTCGAGGTTTGAGAAAAATTAAGTTTATGTCAGAAATAACTTGATTGGTCATTTAGTTGTTATTGTTAAGCGTCAAGCTAGTCACATCTGTGCTCTTCTCGCCACACACGTATCGAAACCCGATTTTTAGCGTCATAAGTCTTAAGACTTACCGCTGAGTCACTGGAAGGGAGGAAGGGCTCACAGATAAAAAAGTTTGTTTGTTTGTTTTAAAATAAAGCCACACTGAACTATTTGCAGTGTCCACCGCAAGGAATTGAACCCCGGAGTCTAGCGTTATAAGTCCGTAAACGTATAACTGTCCTACCGGAGGACCTAAATAATTAATGAATATAACTAGAGAGTGCTTTTGAGACCATTGACCTTTGTCTTTCATTGAAAAGTAGTATTTCGTTTTATGAATATCGAAAGGAAACATCATAGAGAACTTAACCTCATGGAGTTTGTATTCTCGTTATTGCAAGTAAGAGTTCATCCGTAGAAATTTGTCACCGAAAAGTTAAAATAAATTTTGGTTAAAACCTATATCCAGTGATAATATTTGCTCATGAATAATAAAGAAGATAAAGAAATTACTTACTGATATAAATTATTATTTGTAATCCATAACCTAGTGCTTTTTAAAATCCGGTAAGTCTATTTATTACCAGTGATATAAAATTGGTGGATATTCTATATTTTCTCGATGACATATTTATCGTTTTCGATACGTGCTACCATCTAGTGGCCATAATATGTAAGACAATTTTAAAAAGAATTGATGAAATAACTCACTTAACAAAATGAAATTATACATTACTGGAACAAATAAAAGGTCAACTAAGAAAAATCGTGTTAAAACATAAATACACAACTTTATAAATGCTCAAGTATTAGTTAATTCATACTACAATAACATCACCTTACAAAGTTTAATAATGTATTAGAATATGACGTCACGGAAAAGATAAACTCTGCGTTATCTGTAGAAAACTTCCAACAGGGCAAAGTATGTAGTTGTTAAAATAGAGCTTATTGAACATTTACTCGAGCATAGTAAACACATTCTAGAACAAAAGCTTTTGGAGTAAGTAAAAAAAGTAAATGTAATTTGTGATTATTGTGTCGTTTTTATTACATCCACACGGTCATCTCTACGTTCAGCGCTTAGACAAGTAGTAAGTTCAAATGTACGTCTTTTTCTTTCTTACTCAGTTAAATAAAATCACGAAATAATTCTTTTGACTATTTTTATGTATGTGTATATTTTTTATAAAGATGTAAGGATGAAAAACATTAGCCACCAGTAAACTAAAACCAACCTGGAATATATATACATATGCATTCATAAGTCTGAAGACTGTCCAAAATTTCGAAAAACCCTTAGTTTATCCAAAACGTGCTAGATATATATATATTTTTAAGTCAAGCGAAAATCAGCCTTAAATCAAATAACCTGAGCGCGCTGTGAAGTTAGGTTTATATACTTTAAAATGCCCTAGTAATGGAATTATATGTAACATATGAATGTTCTAAGTTGAATTTTTTATACTTAACTCAAAGCTTCTATATTACCCTGGCTCGAGAGTAAGTATGAAAGGCTACATATGCTCACTTTGTCTTTATTAATGTTTTATTAAGCTTGAGTCCCGAGTTCATTAAGCTGTATGGATCAGTTTTTAAGGCTGTTGTAAGTGTAGAGATGTCAGAAGAAGAAGGTTAGAATGAATATTTATTTGGTAAATGTGTGTTTAAATGACGTGCAGCATGCTGTTCATGTTAATTTAACCCTAGAGTTAATCCGTATAGATGATCCGGCATACTAGCCCGATAATATCGTTAACAGATAAAGTACCCAACTGATTCTATACAATGTAAATGTTAATAGTTTCATTTGTTTGTTGTTAAGTAGAAAGCTACACAATGAGCTATCTGTGTTGTGCTCACCACAGGTATCGAAACCTGTTTTTTAGCGTTATAAACCGTCAGACTTACCACTGGGCTCCTGTAGGGCTAATAGTTTACGATCTTGTATGTTGTCCTTATTATATATTGCAATTTCAAACTCGAAGGGTTGGTCTTTCACGTTTACTGTAGGAACTAACTTGAAATCTGATATATTTTGGTTGACTAGTGCTATCAGATTATCTTTACTTGTGTGTTGATTTACTCAGAACGTTGACTTACATGTAAGTTCTTATTTACTGAACGTCAAAATAGATTAAAATATCACTCCTAAAAATGATAGAGTGTCACTGTAATAAATTTAACTAAAGTCTAAAGCAGTTTTTTCAAACTTTTAGGTCGTACCCCCCCCCCCCCTTTTCTTCTTTGTGATAAATGGCACAGCATGGCCAGGTGATTAGGGCGCTCGACTCGCAATCTGAGGGTCGCGGGTTCAAATCCCCGTCCCACCAAACATTTTCATTCTTTCAGCCGTGGGGGCATTATAATGTGTCGGTCAATCCCACTATTCGTTGGTAAAAAAGTAGCCCAAGAGTTGGCGGTTGGTGGTGATGACTAGCTACCTTCCCTCTAGTCTTACACTGTTAAATTAGGGACGGCTAGCGCAGATAGTTCTCGTGTAGTTTTGCGCGAAACTCAAAACAAACCAAACTGTAATAAACTTTGCTCCTCCTCCAAATGTTCAGCCAATAATGACAACGATGAACTGAGCTTTAAAAAATCGAAATAAGAAACGTTTTCCTAACGCTTCTGACCTCCCCTCCCAAAAAATGTGATTGCGCCTCAAGGGGGGGTGCCCCCCACGGTTAGAGAGCCACTAGTCTAAAGTAATCAAAATCCAAAAAGAATTGCATGAACTACTTATCTTATAGACAGCGAGCAATATGTAGACTTCTAGAAGGGAAAATAAGCTGGATTAAATACAGTTTTCCTGTTCGAGCTCTGCACACCTGAGGAAGAATATAAATCTTTTTAAATTATATTAATTTTCAAAACCGTGCTTTACTCGTGTGAGTCTTTATGATATATATGATACCCATTTTCTCTTCTGCTAAGATAAGATTTCCTACAAGTGTACGCTGAGTGGTCACAAGTAAATAGACACCTAATGAAAATGATCCGCACACTAATTATCTTGTGCTACAACATGCCTAGAACTCAA